GTATTAAGATAAGGTGGTTCTTAAGAATTCAGTAGGGGTCAAATATTATCATCCACTACTTATTCATGTTACAACATCAACAATTATATGGAACTAAGTAATATCATGAGTTTTGACCTCAAGAAGGTTATTTGGTGTGTAATATTATATATCTGATTCAATCTTTTTTCTTTCCACCACCACTATACCAACAGCCTATAACAGTCCACTGCTGGACATGGGCCTCTCCTTAGAAAGGAGGTTTTGGCCTACTATACCACGCTGACCAGACGAGTTGGTATAGGATCTGTTTCAAGTTTTCCTTCTCTTTGCAGTGCTGTTGTGCTGCGTAGTTTGCTCCCTTAGGCGGCTCTTACGACACCCACGGGATGAACATGGGCGGTGATACTTATTAAACATCATCTTCCTATGGGTAATCTTTTTATAGCGCACTGATTAGATGCTGTACCCGGGTCCACAAACTGAGACGAACACTTATGGTTGTCGTGCAGGATCCCCTTTTCATCGCAGGTAAAAATTCGATGACACCTGACACCGAAGAAGTATGATAAGAAAACATACAATTATGATTTTACTAAAACAGACATAAATCTGAATTAACTCGTTTTAGGACCCGTAAGGTAGGAGTACCACACATTTGAAAAAAATTGTCAGAGCCTAATAATACGTTGGAGTAATTTTTTATGGGTATTATCTACTCTACAATTCTATTCTGGGTTCAGAGTTCAGTTTACACACTTAACATATACACACTTACATAATATTTAAAAGATAAATAATATAGCACAGATTCAGACCGATATCTTAACCATTTATAATTGTCTCTTTTATATCTAATGTTGATTTTAAAGTAAATTTATAATTAGAACAGAGTTGGACCAAAAAAACACGTGTTAAATATAATGTTAGTTGTATAATTTTTGAATTCTTTAAGCATAAATATAAACATCGTAATTCAACTTAACTCCTCGATCACTCCTTATGCGAATATTGACAAAGTTGTACCCAAAGCCGCCTTGCGTGATGTTAGCTGTTGCTCCTGAGTGTCAAATTGTAAGCTAAGATACCCTGGAAACGTTTATAAAATAATATTTATCGATGACATCTAAAAGTCTATACACAATTTTCATGAAAGTTAAAGTTTAAGATAGATATCGTAAGTAACTAAACTTATTTAATGGCTAGAAACAGAGTTGTAGCTGGTACAGGAATGACACCTAACATAATCACTAACTCTGACCTTAACTGACTCACAAATCCAAATAAAATTATCGTCATCATCGTACTGAAAAGGTCTGGTTTCTTTTATCCTCCAAGCGCCTGTTAGATGCCAATTTTCTTTAGACATGCAATTATTTTCAGATTGGACAATAGCAGAAGGTAAATTGTTAGTTTCGAATATAAAATTAGTCTTCTAAAATTAGTTAGTCTCATCCGAGAAGAGGATCTTCTAGCTTGTGTGTTTGATTACTCTTCTCTCTCTTGGAGATGCTCCTATGATTGGAGAGGTAACTTAGACAGCAGCTTCGCCTACCCGAATAAGGTATTTAATATACTCGTACTTCAACTCAACGAGTACGTGTCTTCAATATATTGTAACGAGTCAACTACGCTATTCAAAGTCATCTCGCTTCTTTCTTTTAGGGGGCTAATGAGCAGACGGGTCCCCTGATGGAAAGTGACTACCGTGATAAACGCTTGCGCTTGCCGGCCTTTTAGGAAGGACTACGCTCTCTGCTTCTCTTTTTTCTTATGAAAGTCTCTACCACAACATTGTTTTCATTACGATTTCAACATATAATCAGTAGAGGCTATCTGACGTACATACTTCTATCTATACTAATATTATAAATGCGAAAGTGTAGTTGTCTATCTTTCACCTCTTCACGTTTAAACCGCTGAACCGATTTAGATCAAATTTGGTATAGAGATAATTTGCGTCCCGAGAAAGGTCATAGGGTAGTTTTTATCCAAGAAATCATCCTTTAACGGAGTTGAAAAGGGGGGTGGAAGTTTGTATAGGAAATCAATAACCACTGAACCGATGAAATTTGGTTTGGAGATAGTTTCATTCTTGAGAAAGGACATTGGCTATGGCATTTTACAGCGAAAACTAACATACATGAGGGCGGGCAAAAGCTAATTATTTATTAATCTAATATAGCATAAAGATAACACCGATTTATCGATAGATCAAAGTAATTTCCATTTAAACAATCTGACAGTTATGACCTTTTCAGAATTGACTTATGGCCTTTTAGTATATCCATTTATGTTGGAAAGGTTAAATTCTTATTACCTTTAAACCTCCAAATTCTATGATTTGTAGGTATATCTATTCGTCAGCCTATTGAAATGGTAACTTGTGAAAGTACTATTCCAAAAAGTCAATTTTCTTCTAAAAACATATCTTTCATATTTTGGCTAACTTAACTGTCCAATGAAATTTCTTGTGATTCGGATATTGTTAAATTGGAAATGTCTGCGAAAAAGTGTTGTGTTACTAATTGTGATAAAACTCGTAAGTTATTGAACGGTACCAAAATAAATTTCCTAGAAGAAGATGCTGTGCAAAATCAATGTTTCCAATATTTAAAAAAAAGACACAATAAATAGTTTCTTACATATTTCTTGTATTATTTATTTTGTAGCCACACAATGTTCTATATAACAACAACAAATACAAGTGCTACGTAACTATACATGAGTACTCGATGCTAAGTATAGTTATATATATGAGTACTTGTAACTCCGTAACTACGCGCTTGGCGCGCTGCAATCACCTAGCTAGAGTTAATACTCTATCTCATACTATTAAATATACTCTGTGGAGAGAGAGTAAAGAGTGTTTGTCTCCTTTTGTACGTGGGTAACTGTAGACTGTGGAGTCTACAGTTACCGCCAAATCTCCACTATTGTGGAATGATTTTCTAAAGTGATTAGATTATTGTGTCTTTCTATATTTTTGAAACATCCTCTTTTGATGACTACAATTTGAACCACGAACGTGACAATTTCAATTGCAAAACAACGATAAGTAATATGACTGATAATCTAGAAAAATAAAGGTAAAAGCCCCTCACCCGGGTCTCTACCTTACCTTACCTAGCTACCTTAATTAGTCTTTAAAATTAACAGCCATCTTACACTATAGGTAAAATTTACGTACCTGAATGGATTTACCAGCATTTGTAGGGATTTGTGACACCATAAAGTATAATTTTTCCACCCTTTATCTGAAAGCTTTCGAACTATACTCCGCATTATGATGGTAGACCATGGGACGCTGGACGTTGGTGCCAATAAACACATTATGACACTCTACCAGTCAGAAAAGCGCAACTAAAAACAAAGTTAAGTACCACTTCATTTTTTAAATACACTTGACACTTGTCTACTACTGGATTTCAAAGTGTAGTACACAAGGGGGTTTTATACGAGAGTCGGATCACAAATGCAGGGGATATGTTGCAACTTTTTTTTTTTCTTTAAAAAAGTCGGGAGTTGACTTTTATTTATTAAAATTTAGGAATATATCCTGTGTCGCGGGGGACTTTACAAACATACATGAAACGGACACAAAGAACACCCAGACTCAGAACAATTTGTGGATCACACATCATATAATATCACTCTACCACCAATAGGAGCGGAGTATTAATGAAAAATGTTCCAAAAACGGGGAAAAAATGTTTTTTTTTTGGAGAAACGGACGAAGTTGCGCGGGCCAGCTAGTATAAAATAAATATTTATGAATCAGTTCAAAGGTAACTATTTACTTTCATTTCTTTTGTTTAATGTTTAGTTGAACAATCAAAAGAATTTGATTGGATAATGTCTAGTTGAGTGCTTTATCAGTATGGATTATAATTTTGTATCACTGTCACCTGCATCTATGCACTGTTGCTGCTGCACTCCTGAGGGTTATAGCGTCATATTACAAAACCTGTAATCTTCTTCAATAAATACAATAACAACTATCTGTTAGAGTATATAGAATTTTATGGATTACACGTTTAAAGAAAAGGACAAACAAAATTTCTTCAGTCTTATATGTTAGTAGAGATTTGTCTGTTTACTGTCAATGGGTGGACCCAACATTGAACATGGCAAAGACCAAATCAATTTTTGATCAAATTACGATTATTGCTCGGGGATATAGACATTAATACGATTATGACTTATGGTCACAAATTATGTATTTAAGAAATTTATTTTATTTGTAAGGTGCAAATACAGAAAACAGATAACATTTAAAATAAATAATAGTCACAATAACACATCTTTCACTGATCTGATTCCAAATAGAGAAAGTCTGGACTCACGTAAACAGATTTCTGACTAAATTGTTCCTAAATTTAAATATATTATACTATGTTATATTTTTATGCTACATTACAGTTATATATTATAGTATGTACTCGTAGTAGATCTAGACACAGCAAAAATAATTGTGCTCCTCACATAATTATTTGACCTAAATGAGAAAAGAGCACACCATCTTTGGCTTAGCAATCAGGTTCACTAGCCACCAGACCAACAGGTCAGTCAAAATGTAACCTTATACAACTTCATTAACAGCCTTTATCCATAGTCCACTGAAGAACATAGGCCTGTACTTAGAAGGGCGGTTTTGGCCTACTATACCACACTGGCCAGACGGGTTGGTATAGGGTTTGTGTGGAGTTTTCTTTCTCTTTCCAGTCCTGCGAAGTTTGCTGCCTTAGTCGGCTCTTACGACACCTATGGGATGAATAGGGGTGATGATACTCCGTATTCTTAATCCGTCACCACACGGACAGCCAACCTGGAGCCTAAAGTAGGCGGATGTCTGTATTTCAGGTCACTTAAATTCCACTTTTTATTACAATTTGTTGTAGCAGTTTCGGTATGAATTCGAAAAAAAAAAAATGTACGGGTAAAGCGAGCAATGAAACCATAAAAACAATAACAAAAATAATATTTTGGTGTAATTCTTTCTTCTTCAATAATCGATTGCTTTAAGCGTAGATATAAACGTCAAATTTAAGTTTTTGTCCTCGGTCGCTCTTCATACGGAGGTTGACAAAGTTGTACCCAAGGCCTCCTTGTGTGACATTTGCTGAAGCTTCGGAGTGTGTCAGATCGTAGGCTAGGATACCCTGAAAATAGTTTATACTAATTTTCTATTGGCATAGGTATTATAACTATATTATCCCAAAATATGGAAAACAGTAGAAGGAATATAATTTATTTATATCTAGGACACAACATATTAATAATGAGAATGAATGACGTCAGGTCCCAAACTAGGCAGAGCCTGTACAACGGTAACCAGACAGCTGATAGACATACTAATACATATTTTTAAATACATAATAATAGGTCTTTACCTATGAAATTGCCGTTTTGTATGCAATAAGTGAAAGTACTTATTTTTTCAAACTTTTTTATTTCTGTTATTCGAAGTAATCACCCATGCAATCGACGCATCTTTGCCAACGCATTGGCAGTTTATTGATGCCCTTCTTGTAAAAATCAGCTGTACGGGAGGCAACAAACTCTTCAAAGGCATTTTGTACTGCCTCTCGGGAATTGAATTTTTTACCCACTAAAAAGTTGTCTAAATTTTGGAAAAAGTAATAGTCGGTAGGTACAAGGTCTGGTGAGTACCAAGCAACCAGCTTTGGTCAATCGGTCGATCCCACTGCTCCTTCACGACAACGAGCGACCCCATACTGCGCAACAGACAGTCTCCAAGCTGCAAGAGCTGGGGTTGGAAGCTCTCCCTCATCCGCCATACTCACACGACCACACATAATACAGACCTTATTAACATAATCCAATATAATAATAATAATTTGGATAAAGAGTACAATAATTTAAAATAAATGTTTCTCTTATTTATAAATGAAATACAGTTGTTGTTTGTTTGCCCGAACTAGGTTGAAACTGTGTCTCGGGCGAAGAAGTGCTTACAAACTACTTATTTTTATCAATATAAATCTACATAACTACAATTTCATTATAACATTCTAATAGCCTACATAAGCAACTTGCAACATCAGTGATAAGTGGGTCAAAAATAATGCACTAAGACCGTTCAGTAAAGGGGAATGCCCATTTTCGGCCATGAAACGCCCAACAATTTGCTTTTGTTAGAAAAAAACATCTTATTTTCTATTTATTAATTGGGGTATTCATTTATCCTGACAGGTCTGCAACATTTAAATAGAAAATAAAAGTACCGAAAAGATAAAAGTGAAATTACGTTTATCCGTATTTCATTGGTTTCTGACAAAATATTAAGTGTTCCCAATAACTAATTTTACTATTTTTTGGACTGACATTATTATTTATTTTAATATTACTTGAAACTAATTGCACAAAACATCTTATAAATTGTACTTTTAAAACAAACAAAATAAATAAGCAAAATGGCGGTTTGTGTCAGCGCTACTGAAGTTAGCAAACGTGTCCTGGCCGAAAACTGTGTCAGCGCTAGTAAGCGCTTATGAGCGCTTCCTAGCGCTATTTTCTGCCAAACACAGCCATTATTTTATAGCTATATTATTCGATTTTCGGTAATTATTATGATTTCATTATGTTAGTGCTAATATTATTTATTTATTTATTTTCATAGAGCTAGGGCAGACTTTAGAAATATAAACGTAGGCTCCGAAAATGTTAGGGAATTTCCTATTTAAACTTACAGCGACTTAGTACTAATTGCTTGTGGTACATACCAATTAAAGCAAGCTCGCTCCTATTATGGTGAGCATATAAGAGCTAATGGTTGCTACCACATAGAAATATGCAATGACCATAGGAGCAGCATTATGGAAGGAATACACCTTAGTCCTAACTGCTCTTTACCTAGGGCTAGAATCGCAAGTCGACAAATATATTTTATATATATTTTAATTAGTGGCAATGATTCTGGCAGAAGTGCAATTAAAAAGTATTGTTGTAACTGTATTGTTGGCCGTCGAACGGTAGGATGTTGTGCCCATATAATAACAGTAATATGGTATTTGGGTTGGGCACGACATCAAACAAATATTTTTCCTTCGGCTCAATTCCTGGATGATGTACTAATTGTGTATGACACAAATGATGTATGATCATAAAATACCTAACAACTACATATAACTTGATATTGTATGTGAGAATAACAATAAAAAGATGAATAAGAAAAAAAACTGTGGTTATTTCTGAAAATTAAAATCATTTTATATCTTAAAAATCCCGACTTTTTTTAATACTAATTCCTTAATCATTTCATTCTTCAAATTGTATATTATCGTTTCCATATGCTTTTATATGTGTGCACCTAGGGCCAAGGTGTCTATGGGGAGTGGGCATTCCCCTTTTCATTTACATATTTCGAGTAACTGCTCAGTTTGCTCATACGACAAAAATTGTAAATAATTATGTAATTTGTTTTTACAGCTGACATAATTTTATTTATAAATACTTAGCTCTATATTTAATCTATGATATAGAAATGGACCTAGGAAATAATGGAATCTATTTGAATAAATGAACTTTGAGCCTGATTGTGAGGTACAGACTATATCTTTTCGTCTTTTGTTAGAAATATCAGCGTGATAGATTAGACGACCGAATGGCGTAGTGGTTTGTGTAACGGACTGCTATTCCAAAGGTCGCGGGTTCGATTCCCGCTCAAGTCAAGCATTTGTGTGCATGAACATTTAATGTTTGATTTGGTCTGGGTGTTTCTATGTATAATATGTATGTATTTACAAAAAAAAAAGTATATATGTATTTATATCAGTTGTCTAGTACCTATAGTACAAGCTCTGCTTAGTTTGGGACTAGATGGCGTTGTGTGAATGTAGTAGAATATTATTATATTATTATTATTATTATATTATTATAGGTAAGTAATGTATGTTGTTTTAGTACTGTGTGGTATACGAGTATGAATATTCGGCGGACAGTCATCACCTTGCACGATTCATATAATATAGTTGTGGGAAATAGGAAAGGTCGGGAGGAGGCTACTTTTAGAATCGCTCGTTGAGCTCTTTCTAGAGACAAAATATTAGTTTTTAGTGCTCCACCCCATGAGGATATACAATATTGGATGATTGATTGACATAAAGATAAATACACTGGAGTGATCAACTTTAAATCTGCTATAGCTCGCATTTTTTTAAATACATATATTAATTTACTAACTCTATTTGCTAAACTTTCAATGTGTGTCCTAAAGGAGAGGGTATGGTCGATTATGATCACTAGATATTTTATGTTATGGGTTACCTGGATAGCAGTACATTTACACAATGGCACTGACGAGTTTTGGCAGAACAGGGAACAATGGTGTGCGTATTTGGAAGTGTTAGTTACAGAGTGTTGATTTTTGAGCATGGAAAAGTGAATATATTTAGTCTTGTCAGGATTTAATGTTAGAAGATTATTCTTTAACCAAGTATACACAATATTAAAGCCAAACAAAAATACAACTCCCGCATTAGGAATATGTCCTGTGTCGCGGTTGACTTTACAAACATACATGGAACGGATACAAAGAACACCTAGACTCAGAACAAGAATTTGTGGATCTCACAAAGTGTCGTTCTATGTGGGGATCGAATCCACAACACTCAGCGTAGTTGTAAGCGACGCGCGTGGCAACCGCTTAAACCACTACGCCATCCATGCAGTCAAGTACTAGGCGATATCGAATTTCTGTAGATAGACTATTGTCGGACATTTTTTTCATCAATTCCTGATGCGGGAGTTGTCTTTTTAATTAAGATTAAGACTTGAGGTCTGGACTGTCTGTCTGATGGCGATCTGAAAACCAAAGTCCAGCCGTATCGTAGTAGACTTAAAGACGAATCAGATTAGTTTGGGAAAAAGGCTCAGAGGAAAAGAAAGAAGCCATGCTTCCACAGAAAGCAATTCTTCGGTTGTTAAGCAATTCTGCTTTCACCGAGCGAATGAAGTTACCATTTATCATCAGATGTACCGTCTGGTTGTTTGCTCCCTATGCCATAAAAAACTGAACTGTCCAAATATTTTTTTGGGAAAGAGTTAATTAGAATTTTGGAGAAAACAGAGGATTTTTTTTCCATTAAATTAAAACAAATTTATTAAAATTTTGTCTGGACAACGTCTGTCATGGCAGAAAGAATTTAATAAAAAGATTATCCGTTGTTGATAGCAGTTGAATCTTTATAAATAACAAATTAATTGTAAAAATACGACTTTGTTAGAATTTTATACTTAAAATCTAAAAACTTAATATTTTGTTTCTCTTTGAGCATTTCTCGTTAGAATCTACATTTAAGTAATATAGTTTTCTTTGATTTTGATATTACGCATATTAGGTTTTGACAAAAAAGTTGGTGACATTTAAATTTAATATAGTTCTCATAAACCCATTGTCGCTCTCGCAATAAAGACAAATATAATAACACATCTTAACCAAAATCTATCAAGCCGTTTTGAGGTACAGCGTGAGAAAAAAAATACACATACAGATACCCTCAAAATAAATCACCCCACCACTGTATTTAAAAATCATTTTTTACTTTAAATATCAAACATACGTACCTGGATTGCTCTTCCAGTGTTTGCAGGTATTTGTGGCATCATAAAGTACAGGTTTTCTACTCTCTTCCTGAACACCTTAGAAGAATATTCCACATTGTGGTGGTACACCAAAGGACGCTGGACGTTGGTGCCAATGAACGTGTTATGACATTCCACCATTACGATAGCCGCAAATAGAAGAGAAGCTGTGTACCACTTCATTATAAAATAATATATTGTTTTAAATTAGTATTAGATGTCAGTGTTACTACACTTAGTTGTACGAGAGCCAGACTACAAATGTGAAGACAGCGATTGCCGCAGGTTTTTATCTTTAATTACAAAATCAGTCAGAGCATAGCTACATGTTGTTTACTTTGCGCTCCGACATACTCCGTTAGGCTAATAGTGTTATCTTATTCTTTTTATGTTAAAATTTATTTGTTTTTTAAACTATTTAGTAATCGTGGACTACATAATCAAGCGTGCTAGACATATGAAGAGAAAGCTATTACATTGTTGTAGTATAAATCATTATTAAAAGAAATAAAAAGTTGAAGTAATCAGTTTTATCTTTATTTTACGGCACAGTGAGCCATATCGGTGTGGTGATGGATTAAAAAACGGAGTGTCACCACCCCTATTTATGCCGTCGTAAGAGCAGGAAAAGAGTACTGCAGTGGACTATTGATAATGATAGTGAGCCGACACACTCAAATAAAGCAGACGGGTTACATGACGCTGTGTAACTACCGCCGCCCACGGCCACCTGAACCTCATGAAACGCAAGTCCTTTACTGCCTTTTGAGTGGTCCACCTAGAACTGGGTGCTTGGACCTTCGGTAGACTCAACCACTGTATGAATAGCAACAAAATCATTGCTCAATACAAGGCCTCAATTCTGCTATTTTATGATAATTTGAATTTTTTTTTGAGGAAATGATTTATTTATTTTTCCAAATATGGAAAATTTTTGATATCACCACTGATGAGCCACTGCCATTCCATCGCCACTGTAAAGACACTGAGTTAGTGTAGACTACCGATATTTATACTGATGCCAATGGCCACTCGATGGCATCTCAATAGCGTGTCAGTGGTATGACAGTGGCTTGGCGGTTACATTAAATAGCAGAATTAAGGGCTGGGTTTCCTATGAGGCTGTCGTCGAGCCGACCCGTATGTCCAGAAGAATGGTTCTTCTGCGGCCAGTTGCTAAACTCATCTTACATTAACGCACCAGCAGCACTTATCAAGGCTCTATCTAAGCAAAATGATGCGATGTTGGAACTGAAGTTAAGATAAGGTAATAAAATTAGAAAAACAAAATAGTATAGTTAAAAATATAATGATCGGGCGGCTAAAACCAAGTGATAAATTTCAAGGTGAACGGGGTCACGATAAACAGTGAAGTAAGCTCATATCTTAAAATGATAAGTAGTGGTAATTTATGTGCTAGCAGGTTAAAACCTACTTGAGCAAGGAGGTCACGTCGACACGTGTTCCATCCATCCCTTTATTTATTCTTTGGAAGATAGATTCTGAGTTGTTCAAAATTAAAGTAGTGGAACATAAGACTTAATTTTCTCACACACATCGTTGCCCATAAAACTTAAACATGCTAATTATAAAAAAAAACTAACTGCGTAAAAAATATATCCAGTGTATGATCTAGTGTCACTATCACAATTAGGAAGAATTTAATGACACGTCAAGCGCCAAACTCACTCAAGCCGTGTAGGCTACATACCGGGTCAAAAAATATAGATATGACAACTATGCTCCTTTATTTTCCTTCAAGGATGGATTATATTCTCCAAATTCAGCTGGGAAGAACATTCAGTAAAACTAATTACAATAAAATCCAGTTAGAGTCCTGATTCCTTTTGTAGACGATTAAAAATCTCCAATATGTTAATTATTGTTTTTTAATCTCATAATATGAAAAGTGAATGAGACAGAGGACTGTAAGGTATCTATACTAATACTATAAAATTTGTTAGATTGTACGTTTGGGGCAATCTCGGGAACTACGGGTTCGAATTGTAAAAATATTTTAGTGTAGAATTGTTGCGAAAACGGGGCAAATTTATTATTTTTGAAAGAAGTGCCGCGGGTCTGCTAGTTACTAAAATACGTAAAATATGTCCAGGAAAAACAACTTCATTATACTTACTTACTTATAATATAAATCGGACATATTTGTATACCAGTAATACATAATATATCATTAAAAATTATTAGGGTCTTGTTACAACCAAAATGTTCTGCCATATAATTTTGTCGTAATATCAACTAACTGTTAACATAGCCTTAAGGAAAACTCGAAGGAAATATTAAAGGTAACAGTGAATCATAGATAAACAAACAATGCTAACAGATAGTGGAGGATCTCGAGGGGAGTCCCATTAATAAGATTGCTTTATTTGTAAAATCCACTTTCAGGGAACTCGTATCTACGTAACGTCAGCAATATAAAAAGGAAAAAATATTTCTTTGTAACATTTCTTTAATTAATCAACGAAAGTAAACAGACTATTTGTTTACTGATAGTCAATGCTGAATAAAACACAGACGTATACTTTTTATTCTTATAGACATGAATATTATTCATCAATAATCTTTTATCGTGTTAGTTTAGTTGTCATAAACTATAATTTTTGTGAAGAAGTTTTTTATAAGATATTTTATACTTAATGAATTTTCTTCTGATTAATTTCGTTGTGGGTTCCAAGATAGTTTAATGTTCATGGCCACTGCTGTAGATCCTGGTGTACAGGAGTAAGTGTCTGTGGGTGGGATTAGTCCTGTTAAAAAATGTACATAATGAAAATCTGTGTTATACATCTTCTACATATACACCTGAGGGTACATCTTCTCTTCACATGATTACCGCCGCCCATGAACAGATGTAACTGAAGAGTTACGAATGGTTTGGCAACCTCTGAGACGAAGGAGAAGGAGGAGTTTGGGTTTTCTGTAACTTCGATATTGAGTCACTCGGCGTAATGCAACGAAATAATTGGTCAGTATCGGTTTTCTTACTTTGATCGAGGCGGCCCGTTTGTGCCCAAGTATGACTCTCCCGGACGAGCAGCAGTCCTGAAATTGAGCGGCAACGGCGAGCCGCAACCCTGCCCATCAACAGCCACGACCACTCTGGCAAGAGTGTCCGACTAAGAGAATGACTTTCCCATGGTCGAATCTATCGTCTATCTCTATCTATCGAAAGATCTGTCACATAAAAAATGTACTTATAATCCTAACTGAGATAATTACTTAACGTTATTATTATACTTGGAAATGTGAGTTTTTTTGTGAAGTTTCTACACCTTAACTACCCAACTGATCACTGAGAGTATTTTTCATCTAAGAAAAGTTTCGTCCCTGAGGGATGTCTGAAAAGATTAAGTAAATAAACATTCACGCGAGTGCCGTGGGTAAACATTACCATGATTACGTAGGTACCTAATCAACTTAGTAAATAGATATTTACATATTCAATGTGATAAAAGTGTCGGAAGTTTAAAAACAATAGTTAAACAAATAAAAATACTTACCATATAACTGATTCAGATGTAACATGAACTCACTTGAAAAACTTACAGAAAGCTTAATATAAAACCTAACTGTTCTGACAGTTTAGAAAACTGCATCCAGTACGGTCTGGAATCTCTGCGGTACGGATTGGCTTGGAAATAAACAAAATGTAAAAATCAGACTTCGCCTGATATCGTGTGACAGAACGATAGAAGCGACCCTCCGGGATATTTTTTACACCGTATCGTAACATCGCAATTAAATTATTCATGTTTTGACTCTTTGATAAATAAATCTAGGCCTCTTAATTCCATCTTAAGTAGCACTTTATTAAGTTTTTAATATTTTTGAAGATATATGTAAGATTCTAAGGAGAGGCCTATGTCCAGCAGTGGACTATTAAAGGCTGTTGATGTGATGATAATTTCAAGACAAACGTCCATAAAATGTCTGATAAAAACTGCCTGCATTCTCCAAGGTCCGACAAAAGTACTGGTCTGCAAATTTTCTCGGAACCTCAGAAGGACCCTGTTTCGAAATCTATTTCAAAAGTCGGTACAGGGCCATCTGCTAGGTACAATTACCTAAAATTAAGGGTAAATCTACATTGATAGAATGTTTACCTCAAGTTATATTAAATTGTACTCGTAAATCTAAGACACCTGCGCATTTGTACCCAGGAAAGTTTGTAAACGGCGATTTGGTCGCTAAGCATATTCAGCAAATCCATAGTCAAGGAGTTTGAGTTAAACTATAACAGAGTTTATCTGCTTAGATGCTTGGTAAGGTGTAAGAAACCAAATTAGAAAAAAACACAAATTTACAAGTGCTTAAAATTAAATAAGAAAACAAAAGAAATGAATTCGAAATTACTGCTGTGTGAATTTTTATTTAGAAGTTATATTGATAAGGCATGGTGGTGCTATCAAGTGGATCTTAGTTCTTTCGTTTTTTTGTTTACATAAGAATTTAATAAAGATGCCCGATGACATCAAAGCTGCAGGTCGATTCACCTCTTCACACTTCACAGCAATTTACTCGCCGAAAAATCATACTTGCTTAGTGACATTTCTAAGAGAAACCTTTACACATATATGTAAATATCAAAGTGCAATTCCTCAGCGCGGTCACTTTTCAGCCGAAGGTTCACGAAGTTGTAGCCGAGCCCACCTTTTGTGACGTTCGCTGATGCACCGGAGGTGGTTAAATCATATGCCAAGATACCCTGTAATTATAAATAAAATAACCAATTAATAATAAAATTTAATTTAATTACTATTTAATTATTAAATTAAAGTTCGTTAATGATTAGAGTAAAATAATATTAAATACTGGAAAAAATAAGAAAATACATGTATGCTATTAACACGTAATGTATCTTCTTTTTGACAGTTGATTGTAAACATGTCTATGACAAAACTTGTGAAGTCAAACGCTAAGTAAAATAAATATATAGATTATTTCTTTTAATTATAAAATTTATTATTACTAATTTTTACACATTATTATATGTGATATGTGCTATTTAAAAAAATATGTTTATTGTTTTTGGCACTAAAAAGTATCATTTATACGTGGTTTAAACTACTGTAGTGGATATTTTTACTAATAGGGATCAGCATAAGAATATTTTGTTGACTACAGAAAGTGGAGAAGTCGTTGCTTCGAAGCCGGCAGTCCTCCGGAAGTGGAAAGCTTCTATGGCCCGTTATACGCTTCGCATGCATCTCGACCTGATCCCGAAAATGAGGACTCTAGATCCACATCACTACACCGAAGACCAGAGTTAGACTGCCAGAAGTTAGCATTGACGAAATCGAGATGGCTCTTGGACAGCTGAAAAATGGAAAAGCCCCTGGAGAGGACGGCGTTACAACAGAGCTGCTGAAGGCCGGGGGTAAACCCGTACTAAGGGAGCTTCAAAAGCTCTTCAACGCTGTCCTGTTTGAAGGGGGAACTCCGGAAGCGTGGAGTAGGAGTGTGGTCGTCTTGTTCTTCAAAAAGGGTGATAAAACCAGGTTGAAGAACTATCGACCCATATCCCTTCTAAGCCACGTCTACAAGCTGTTTTCGAGAGTCATCACGAACCGTCTTGCGCAAAGACTCGACGAATTCCAATCACCGGAGCAAGCTGGGTTTCGGAGCGGATATGGCACCATAGACCACATCTACACAGTGCGGCAGATTATACAGAAGACCGAAGAATATAATCAGCCCCTGTGTCTAGCATTCGTGGACTATGAGAAAGCCTTTGACTCGATCGAGATCTGGTCTGTTCTGGAGTCCCTGCAGCGTTGCCAAGTAGATTGGCGATACATCCAAGTGATGAGATGTCTCTACGAAGCCGCCACCATGTCCGTCCAAGTACAGAATCAGCAAACAAGGCCCGTACCATTGCATCGAGGAGTGAGACAAGGGGACGTTATTTCCCCGAAATTGTTCACAAATGCAATGGAGGACATGTTCAAGACGCTGCACTGGAAAGGGCGTGGCATCAATATCAATGGCGAATACATCTCTCACTTGCGATTTGCAGATGACATCGTCATCATGGCAGAGACGTTGCAGGACCTACAGCAAATGCTGAATGACTTAGCTGACACTTCTGTACGCATCGGCCTACGGATGAACTTGGATAAAACCAAGGTCATGTTCAACGAACATGTACTACCGGAACCGATTGCGGTACACGGTGCCGTTCTCGAAGTTGTTCAAAATTATGTGTACCTCGGGCAGATATTGCAGTTAGGTATAAACAACTTCGAGGACGAGGTGAACAGAAGAATTCGGTTGGGTTGGGCAGCGTTTGGGAAGCTACGTCGAGTCTTCTCATCGTCGATCCCACAGTGCCTTAAGACGAAAGTCTTTAATGAGTGCGTCCTACCCGTCATGACATACGGAGCTGAAACGTGGACACTTACGGTACGGTTGGTCCACAAGTTCAAAGTCGCTCAACGTGCTTTGGAAAGGGCTATGCTCGGCGTTTCTCTAAAGGATCGCATCAGAAATGACGTGATCCGGCAGAGAACCAAGGTCACCGACATAGCGTACCGGATCAGCAAGCTGAAGTGGCAGTGGGCTGGCCATATTAGCCGCAGAACCGATAACCGTTGGGGAAAACGAGTTCTTGAGTGGAGACCGCGTCTCGGCAAACGTAGTGTAGGACGCCCACAGGCCAGGTGGAGTGACGATTTGCGCAAGATGGCTGGCAGGAGCTGGATGCGAGGAGCCCAAAATCGATTTAAGTGGCGTGCAATGGGAGAGGCCTATGTCCAGCAGTGGACTGCGATAGGCTGATGACGATAAGAATATTTTATTCATTAGTTATGAAGTACTTAATTGCATTAGGTGTAAAATCGATTATAGCTTGACCTTAAATAAAATAGCTTGTAGTTTATAATTAGGTCAGCAACCAGTTAGGCCATCGCTATTACTTTCAAACCATGAATCAAAAACATTTGGTCAGTGGTGTCAAAGCTGCAAAGAAAAGAAAGCAATTACCTGAATACTTGGTGAATACTGGCGCGAAGCGTAAGGGATCGTGTAGTTGACGTTCTCGATTCTCTTCTGGAACAGTTTAGAAGGATACTTGACATCCTTGTGGTAGATTAATTTTCGCTGCACACTAGTACCGAGGAAAGTGTGGCCACACTCAACAATTACTACCACTGCGAGTAAGAACAATAAAACGTACACTTTCATTTTGACAATCTATTTTTTTAAATTCAATATAAAAGAGAATTAAATGTACTGTCTTCGGCTAAAGTGTGGCTCTGTAAATGAAATCGGAAATATTTATACATACTTCTACTACCTGTTATCAACTAGATTTCTTGGTCATTAGACATTGTAATCATTATGGTTCTGTGGTTAAAAAAATATAAATTGTACCAATGTTTTTTTAATATATTCAATTTGCAATATATAAGGTATTATTCAAATATTATAATGCGTCATGCAGTTCACTGATTGTTTCTGCAGTAGGTATAACGATTTTTTTTCCTTTTTCTTTGTGTAAAACGACAGCTATTCTAGGAATGATTTCAGTCCGGCGCGGGGCTTTACAAACATTCAAACTAAATTTACTAGCTTTTCTGGTTCAATACGACCGTTGCAACATTTAAAATATTCTATGGATTACTTATAGTTTCACTAGCGATGCGCCCCGGCTTCGGGTGGGTGCAATTTAGATACTACTAATACTTCTAATGTGGAGTAATTGATTATACCTACTATTATTATGATAAGAATAAACTACAGGACATCTTTATGTGCAATATTTCTGGCCCGCTCCACTCCTGTGGGCCGTTGCCACCCGGGACGGACGTACTGCCCGATGCCCGCATTTTAAATCTTTGATATCTAATAAGATATTAATGTTAATCATCTGCTGTAGAGAGCAATTTAGATCTACATTGAATACACAACGCCCACAAAAACTGTTATTTCACGACTTTACATTACAAATTTTTAAAATGCTCGAATTTACTCTATTATAATATGCATGTATTATACATATAAACTCGATTCTTGAATGTCTCTATTGGTGAAAATCGCATTAAAATCCGTCGGTAGTTCGAAAGATCAAAGCGTACGAGAAAAAAAGCGAAAAGTTCGAAATCAATTCGAACATAAGGACCGACATAGCACTCGTGACTCAATTTGCAGGTGTGCAGGGTAGTCACATTTCATCTAGTGTTCAGACTTATTTACCCGCTATGTTATAAAAAACATTATATTAAAAAGTTACCCAAAAATATTGCCGCGGAACCATTTATTACTTTCTCATAATGGTGTGCAATATACGTACGTTAAGTTACAATTATAACCACGTTAGTTAATCACCGTGATATCAGTGTTAAGTGAGTGTTTCATCATTATTTAGAGATACCACTATGAATGTACATCTCTATATTCTTCATTAGGAAATTGCTTACCTAATGAAGAATAATGTCCTAGAAAGACTAGATCATGAAATATATTTCATTTATTGACTACACTTAAAATTAATTTAAGTAAATCAATTAAACAAATACGTTGTTTTATAGTTCTTATGAAAGCAAAGAGATTGGTAAGTCAAATTCTTGTTTTGGGACGAAGTTCCTTATCGCGTGTTACATGCTCTGAGCGGATGGGGGCTAGACCAAAAAATGTGTAACAAGACTTTTTCCGACACTTTTTTGCTAAAGTACGCACGCACTTGCTCAGATCTTTTAAACTAAGCAACGGTTTTAATGCGGTTTTCACCAATAGAGAGATTCAAGAGACAGGTTAGACTGGTGATAAACATACTTAAATATGTCTAAATACAAATTATAGATAACGTACACCCAGACACAGAACAAATTACCGTGCTCATCACACAATTATTCGTCCTGGATGGGAATTGACCAGACGACCTCTAGTTTGGCAGTCAGGGTCACAACTATTAGACCAACAGGCACGAAGTTATAATTGAATTCTGATAACCTCAGCATATTTGTCCTGGGTGGGAATTGAACCCACGACCTCTGGCGCAGCAGTCGGGGTCACCAAAAACTAGACCAACAGGCCAGTCAAAGATAAAGGCCGTAATGGAGTTGGCCTGGCGTTTATGCACCGTAACCGCAAAACTGAGGATTTGCAGTAGCATTCTCCGTTCAACATCCCCGTAGCTTTTAGTTGCCTGATAGGTGCCATAGCGAAGCGTAGCATGGTATAGCAAGTATTTTATAAAAAGTGGATCGGGTAACTCGTCTGATTCTATTTGATCACGGCGAAGGGCAGGCCATTTAAATTTGGATAAGATACTTGGACGAGGCCCTTTGGTAACCGAAATATTGCGTCTCAACATAACTCTGGAGGCTATATCCAGTTTCAATACGTACATCAAACTCCGACAGTTATTCACATCAGCAGGAGTCTTCCATTTCCATTGGTACCTCTCGCGTCTTATATGAAGTAGTTCAACCTTTAGTAGGTTTTGAACCGATTTAAAACAAATACAGCAATCATAATGTCTCTACCTAAAAACACTAAAAAGCGAAAAATAAACTGAATATTTATATTATTAAAAATGTGCGAGTTTTTCTAACTAATTAAATCAAAAACTTGACCTAGTAACTATAACTTACCTATTCTCAATTAAATTCTTAATGAAAATTTGATATAGTAAATAAGATATAATATCACACAACGAAAGAAACTTCGTTCAGAACGGGGGTCCATAGAAACCTGACGCCGTTTGTTTAATTTCCAAGTTAGTTTTTAATTACTCTACTAAACATACATACACACGATAGGAAAGTATGACGTCACAAGTTATTATGTTATTGAAATTATGTCAATTGACAGAACATTCTATTGAGACATTTAGTAAGGAGTAATTTGAGTTGTTATTTAAGTGTCATAATATTTGTGTTTGTTAGTGTATTGATTTGACATTCATAGTTTGACTAATTTCCAAAGGATTAATTTAAAAGTTTTGACATGAACGAGGAACTCAGACTGAGTGTGCCGCGTGTGGTGACGGAATTAGAATACAGGGTGTAACCACTTCTACTTATCCCGTAAGGTATTGTAAGAGCCGATAAAGGGAGCAAACTACGCAGGACAACAGCACTGCAACAAAAGAAGAAAAACTTGACAGAAATCCTATACTATTCCGTCCTTATCCCACGCTGGAAAAATCTCCCTTCTAAGAAGGGGCCTATGTCCGCCAGTGGACTATTAAGGCTGTCGATGTACCTCAAAAGAATTTACATAGTAACAATACTACTATGATGAATGTAACTCCATTGAAATTTTAATCTCAAATTTTCATGTAATAAGTTACACTACGGTGCCGGTGTGACAGTCGGCCCTCGTTTTGTGGCAAAAAATGTCACAGTCTCGTTTGCCGCGAGGTATGAAAGTATTTTTTCAAAAATAGATTCGTGAGCTTCGCAACAATGCAACTCAACTGTTTTGACTAAGTACGTGTATTTAGAAACTATTTAAAATTACAGACTTTTCTACGTCGTGACATATAAATATGGTTTTAGTTAACGTTGTCTTTTTTATGGTCATCGTAGCCGGTAGACGTCCAACTAACAAATTATTATTAACTTTAAGAAAAATATCACAGACTTCAATACTTCTACACCAAAATGCATTTAAATAAACTGCGATCATCATTTATCACTTTGATTACCGGCAGTAGTACTCTCGGTAGCTTGTGTTATGATAATTTTGCATTGGCCTGGATGTTTCTGAAAAGCAAAATCCAGACCAATGCAACATCGTTACGAAAGTATTCTAAAAAAAACATATTAGTATTTTGAATTTAATTTGGGTCTAAATAACGCTATGTTTCTTCTAATATTTTTATGACTTTTCCGTAGTCAGAACTGTTAATTTAGTCATATAATCACATTTGTTATACATACGAACCGAGTCATACAATCAAATATAATACTCAGACACAATTTAAAGTATGTAACTCTGTGCCAAGATCATTGCGAACAGGAAATTAAGTTTAAAACTGTGAATTTGGTTCGTCGACGGCTAGATGCGATCTATTCCGTAACGACCTTTTTGTGGTCGTGAACTTGAAGCTGATAACAGCTAATGATAGTGGTTCGATTACGTATACAGTTAAACGTGTTTTGATTTTGATAAATGTATAGTGTTGCTAGCTCAAAAGAATAATTTTTTTAAATTTGTTTTGCCACGAACCTTGAATAGTTCCTATTTGGATCGATTTTTCTAATATATACATACTTGCTTTATGTCTATAGTTTTCTTTTTCTTTATTGTTATTATTTAAATTAGGTATACTAGAGTAAGTATCTATTAGCCCATTGCAGTTCATAGCCTAAGTTATACATTCCACCTCTGGGCCCGTATCGTGTGGTGTTCCGCAGGGGTCTGTTCTCGGACCACTCCCGTGGAACATGGGCTGGGCCCTTCGATGGGAGGGAATTGAGTCCCGCCCGTCACCACTGCAATTGCAGTGAGGACTCGGCTCAACCCTCGCAGGCAATTTGCCCAACATGGGCGCCGCAGTCCCCATTGCAGTCATCGGAAGGGATCTCTCGCTACCGGCCGTCATACGCTCCATGGCCAGTAGTGACAGATGTTTCACCGCGGTCGCGGGGAGAGGGCCCAGGAGGATAACCTCCAGTCGGACCCAATTCCGAACCGGGCGACGGAGGCGTGCTTATCACCGCCATATGCCGCCCTGAGTGTGGCCGTGGATGGACGGGACGGGTTTTCCCTCCACCTGCCATAACGGCCAGCCGCGAGGAGGCGATGACCGCGTGTGCCGGATGTCGCCTTAATGAAGAATGAACTCGAAGATGGCGCCCGCCGAATAACGGTTCCCGGAGCGGTGCTGGAGTGGCACACCGTGTGGTTTAAGTCGGTCCGATTCCAACACACCACCCGCTGCAAACCCCGGGGTTTCCAAACGTAAAAAATACTTTCTACCTCCCAACTAACCTTCGGTGGTCTTCTAACCTTCGCATCCAAACCACTTCATTTACCTTCGTAAGGTCGTTGTTTAGCTCTTATGTTACTCAGTATCAGTCTGCCTTTGCACAGTAACCAAATGCTTCTATTAGGAATGTCCTTGTCCACACCTTGAAATCACATGATCCAATTCCTCCCCAGAGTAAGGTGCTTGAAGCCGGCCGGGCGTCGGGTGGCTTTTAGTAGAATCGCCACCTACTCCTGACTCCTGC